GCGGACCCGTTAATTGGCTGGTATTTAAGTCTGTTAAGAAACTCCTCAATCAACAGTTCAGCAGCGGGGCCAGGCGGAGGCGCTGCCCTGCGACCCCCGGCCTGAGCCCGTCCCCACGCGGCTCCCAGCCGGGAAGGTGAGGCAGGGGAGGGCAATGCTAAGGGAGTCCGTGACTCAGGACCTCTGCCATTGGCTACCAGGCAAGAGCCCTGCCTGTCTGATTGGCTAGGGGAAGACCCACCCCTGCCTGCGATTGGCCGGGTAAGTTCTATATCAGGGCAGTGCTGGTCCCGCGCCCCAGTTCCCGTCCCTGCAGGGCTGCGGCGGGTCGGAGCGAGGGGCCCGTGGCGGGGCGCTGCAGAGCCGCGCGGAGCCGGACCGGGACCATGCGGGAGCGGAGGAGCCCGCAGCCGGCCGTGGCCCGGTGCAAGCTGGTGCTGGTGGGGGACGTGCAGTGCGGGAAAACCGCCATGCTGCAGGTGCTGGCGAAGGACTGTTACCCCGAGGTGAGCGCCGGCCCCGCGAGGGGCAGCTGGGGGGCGCCCGGGGGTCTGGGGGGGGCGCTCCGCGGGGGATGCCCGGCCCCTGGCACGTCTCTGCCCAGCCTCCCTGAGCCGTGCTGGGTCCCCCGGGAGCCTGCGCCACCCAGGGCGGGCAGCCTGGCGGGGGTCTCTGTGCCCGCGGCTCCCTGTGGCAAATGGCTGAGCCCCCCCACCTGGGAGAGGCCGGTGCGGGGTGGGGGGGTTAATATGGCTCTCTTCCCCCTGGGCTGGTATGAGGGGCAGCACCCCCCCCCCCCATTCCCTGGGCTGGGGGCTCTGGGGCCCGGGGGCAGCACCCCCCCATTCCCTGGGCTGGGGGCTCTGGGGCCCGGGTGGTGACCGGTGCCCGCTCTCCATCCCAGACCTACGTGCCCACGGTGTTCGAGAACTACACGGCCTGCCTGGAGACGGAGGAGCAGCGCGTGGAGCTGAGCCTCTGGGACACCTCTGGTAAGGAGCCCCCCTTTCTCCCTCCCCCCCCAAGCTGGGCTGGAGCTGGTGGGGTGACTGGGGTGGGGGCTGGCGGCAGGGGAGGCTCCTTCATTCTCTGGGAATGTGTGTCTGGGGGTCCCTGCAGATCCAGCCCTGCCCCCCCCCCAAGCCTAGAATTGGTTGGGTTCTATGGGGGGGGGCTCCTGGTGCAGGGTGGGGGGAGTGTCCACTGCAGGGGAGCGTGTGAGGAATTGAACAGGGAGCTCTTGGGGGAGGGGGTCAGTTGAAGGCATGCAACCCCCTTTTGGGTTGCTTTAATTCTTTAAGTGGGGGGGTCCCTACCATTGCAGGGGCAGGCTTGGCTTTGCCTCATGCAGCCCCTTCCCCCTGCAAGTCCTGCCTAAAGCAGCTCATTCAGCCCCCCATCCCCCCCCCACAGTGGGGATGGGCTTTCCCTGGCATCTCTGAGCATTGGGGGCTTGGCTTGGGGGTGGGTGGGGGGGAAACCATGTGCCAGCTCTGACTGACCCCCCACCAAAGACAGAACCCAAATACAGTCAGAGAAACAATAGTGGCCCCATTCTAGGGGGGCTGGGGGCAACCTGCCACCCCAGGGACCCTGGTCCTGTAAGAGCAGAACTGGGGCCGGGGGGTCTGATGCTGGAGACTCCAGCAGTGGGTCTAAGAGCCGCTGTCCCCCAGACTGCTCCCATCCATCTGAGTCCCCTGCACCCCCCTCCCTGGTGTCCATGGGGTCCCTGCAGCCCAGCTCCCCAAGCCCCTGGTGACCCCAGGCAGAGGCAAACTGCAGAGGCTCCCGGCACTGAGGACAGGGTGTGCTCCTCCCCTCAGTGCATCACTGCGGCTCTGCCGTGGAAGGGGGGGAGCAGGGGTGTTACTGGGGGAAATCCCAGGTCAGGAGGCTCCTGATCCTTCTTGGGAGGAAGGGGGGACAGGTCCCCTAAAATGAAGGGGGGGAGCCTTGGCTGACTATGGAGGTCACATTGGGGAGCCCCTGCAGCAGGGATGCAGCCCCCTCCCTTGCTGCTGCAGCATCCCCCCCCTCCGGAGGGGGGTCCCAGTCTTGCTTGGATCCCCCTTGTTGCTATGGCGATGCGCTGGCGCAGGGAGCGCGGCTGTTTGCTATTCTGAGCACAGAGCGTCTGGGCTGCAAAACGCTTGGATGCTGCTTCCGGGGGTGGGGGAGGGCACCCGGGCCTTCCCTCCCCCTGTACACCTGGGCCATCCTTCTCCCCTGGGGGTACACGGCCCCCTCCCCACCAGCCTGCATTCCGCCACCCCCGGCTCCCTGGCGCTGCTCCGCTCTGGGGGGAGGCAGCGAGTTATATAAACGGCTCCTGGAGGCTCGGATGAGAGGAGCCTGGGATGCTGGGCTGGACGGGGAAGGACTGGGGGCTGCGAGGGCCCTGGCTGTACAGCTGTGTCCGGGGGGGTCAGGCCCCCCAGCTTCATATGTGGGGGGTAGGGGCATGTGAGCCCCCAGGGTAGCGCCCCCTGCTTGGGAGGGTCCTGCTCCCCCATGGGACAGATCATGGGTGCTGGTTCCCGGCAGCTTCTCTCCTCCCCCTCCCCCCCCCAGCTCATGGGAGGGTGAGGGGGTGACACAGACTCACCTGTGACCCCCCTCCCCCCCACAGGGTCCCCATACTACGACAATGTGCGCCCCCTCTGCTACAGCGACTCGGATGCCGTCTTGCTCTGCTTCGATGTGGGCCGTCCCGAGACCATGGACAGCGCCCTGAAGAAGGTGAGGATCCCCCCACGCACCCTGCCTCTTCTCTCCCCCCATGACAGATCTGACCGCTGTGTAAAGCGGGGAGGGGAGGAGTGGGGGGCCCTGCGTAGCCAGCCCCCAGGCAGGGATGGGGTGTTGGGCTCCCAGCCAGCGGTGAAGAGCTGGTTACAAGATGAGGCACTGGGGCCCCTCCATGCACCAGGCAGGGCTGCACTGCTGGCGTGGTCTGAGGGTCCTTCAGTGCAGGGCAGTTGGACACCCCCCCCCCCAGGGTCTCTGATTGCAGGAGTGGGGTATTTCATAATGGGAGGGCCGGGCCCCTCTCATGAGGACCCAAACACACCTGTGCCCCCAGACCCGCTCTACAGCTTGGGGGGGGGGGGGGGGGGCGCAGAGGCTAAACCTTGGGGGTGACCCCTTGGGGGGGAGCCTCTTCTGCCCCACTGGCTGAGAGCAGCGTGCCGCTCCCCTGGGCGCCAGTGCCGCCTGTCTGTCCTGCTGCTCCTTCCACTTCCGGTTGTGCTGGGGCGGGGAGAGGGAATGTTTCTTTAAACCCCTTTGACAACGTGGATCTGACATTTTGTACAAAGACTCAGACCTGGTGGCACCCCCCCCCAAGTCATTCCTGGCTCCCCATCCTGTGCTCAGGCCACTAAAACCAGCCTTGCTCCCAGGTCTAATCCTGAGGGGGGAAGGGAGGTAGCTCTGACTGGGTGTTGGGCTGAGGCTCCCATCTGAGCTGTGCTGTCACCAGGGTAGCCCTGTGGGCCCCACACCCTTCCGGTGACGGGGACCCAGAGCGGGCGTGGGCAGGGCAGCTGATAAGCCCTGTGGGCAGCAGCTGAGTCACCCCAGGGGCTTTCCCTGCGGGCTCTAAGCCCAGTGACAGCAGCTCTGGGCGCCTGACTCACCCCGGGTTTCTCTCCGCAGTGGAAGACCGAAATCCTGGACTACTGCCCCAGCACCCGCGTGCTGCTGATTGGCTGCAAGACGGATCTGCGGACCGACCTGAGCACCCTGATGGAGCTGTCCCACCAAAAGCAGGCGCCCGTCTCCTACGAGCAGGTGAGTGGGTTCGGCTAGTCCCTGCCCCCGGCCAGGGCTCAGCATGACCCCAGTGCAGCCTGGGGCGGTGTCCCAGGGTCCGGGGCTGAAGCTCTGAACCAGAACCTCAGCTCAGCCCCAAATCCACCTGGAATGTGAGCCTAGCCAGCCGCTGCAGGCCTCGCTGCCCGGCTCTGGCTGATGGCTCTTTCCTTGGCTGGTTTACAGGGCTGCGCTGTGGCCAAGCAGCTGGGAGCAGAGAACTACCTGGAGTGCTCAGCCTTCACGTCAGAGAAGAGTGTGCACAGCGTCTTCCGGACAGCATCCACCATCTGCCTGAGCAAGGCCAGCCCCCCGCCCCCCAAGAGCCCCGGGCGCAGCTTCTCCAAGAGACTCCTGCACCTGCCCAGCCGATCCGAACTCATCTCTTCCACCTTCAAGAAGGAGAAGGCTAAAAGCTGCTCCATCATGTGAAGGGGCTGGGCCCCAGGGCAGGGGCGGACGGACCAAACCCTGACTCTGGCCTCCGGATGGTCTCGAGCCGATGCTACGGGGGGGTGGGGGACAGGCCAGATGGGGGGCGGCGACACCTTGTCCCACAGAGGCCTTTAGTTTCCCGACTGGCCTCGGCAGCCCTGGGATCAGCCCTTCACCATCCCAGCGCTTCGCACGCAGACTCGGCACGTGTTCTCTGAGGAAGAGATGGAGGCGGGGTGACAAGGCCCTGGGGTGTCTCGGCACAGAAGGACCTTGGCAAGCAGCTACTCTTGACCCCCCCCCTGGAGCCAGGAGGCCCCGTCAGCGGGACTCATCCATTTCGTTGAATGCCCACCCGGTGTCTGGCTGTGACACATCCCCTCCATCTGCTGCTTGTCTCCAGAGCTGGCTGCTTCCAACCTTGGCGTTACCTGCCTCCCAGCGTGGGGGCGGCTCCACCTTCACCTGTCTGGGGGGGAAGGAGGCAACTGGTTTATAGACTTCTTCTCTGGGGGGGCCACCTGTTCAGTGTTCGGTGTTATTAAAAAGCTTATTTATTATGGAGAATAGAATGGCTCAGTCGTGCGGCAGGGGCTCCTGGGGTGTCTGTGAAGCGTCAGGTTGAAACCCCCCCCCCCCACCACATACACACCTCGTACAACTAATGATTTAGCCTCAGAAGTGCCATCTCCTTGCCCAGCCAGGGTCACTAAGGTGGACAGGGACTTGCCCCAGCTTGCGTGCAGACTGGCAGAGCTAGGAGCGGAACCCAGGAGTTCTGGCTCCCAGCCCCTTGCTAACCACTAGTCCCCAAGGTGGGGGTCCAGGGGGCTCGGAGGAGCAGCAGTCTCCCTCCCAAGCCACGTCACCTCCAGCAGGGCTGCGGTGACACCCAGTTCCTATCTCTGCCTGGGTGAGCAAGCGCCTGAGCGTGTCTGGGTGGACACTCCACCCTGGCTGCCACCCCGTGCAAATGAGTCACCGTCCCAGCAGTGGGGCAAAGTCCGGCCCCAGGCGGCTGGGGAGGTGTCACTGACTCACAGATCATGCCGGCTCTTGGCTCCGTGGGGGGTGCCACTTTCAGTGCGACAACACTTCTCGGGGGTCCACTCTCTCCTGGGGTCAGGCCCCTCCACCTCCTGGAGCCGCACCTCTGAGCCTTAGCATGTTTGTCTCTTGCTGTGGGCCCCCTCAGGGAGTCCCCTCGCTCTGGGCCCCCCGGGCCTCCGCCCCCGAAGGGGTTGATGCAACCCTGTTCTCTAGACCGGAGCGACTCCCAGCCAGCGTAAAATGAGGGTTTATTGAGAGTTGAACCCAGCACAGGAAACTCTCAGGGCCTCAGGCCTGGCTTCTCTCAGCCCAGCACATCCCAGTCTCTCTGCATCCAGGTGGGCTCTGCCTGCTCCCCCTCTCCAGCCCAGAGCCCCCCTGCTTCCCACCTGGGCATCTGATATCCCGGGCCCCAAGCCCCGCCTCTGTCCATTGTCTTCTCTCCAGGGAAACAGGGCCATAAACCGGGGCCGCCTCTCCTCGCTTCTGTCCTCTGGCTGGAACCGGCTGGTTAGGTCACTGGGTCCTCACTCTGCAGCCCATTGTCCGCCCACTGGCCAGAACCGGCTGCGACTCCTGAGCTGGGTCTCCGGGTCGGGGTCTCAGGTCACTGGTCGCAAAGTCTCCATCCTCCAGGCCATCGGCTGGGTCCCCAAGTCCTCTCTCCGGTCCTCTGCAAAACACACTCCCTCTCCCCTCACCTCGTTAAACCAGTAACACCCAGGGAAACTGAGTCACACCCCCTCCGCATGCAAACCATTGAAACCCCACCGAAAACAAGAAAACCACAAGAAAATCCCCCACTTCGTCACAGGAGGACAGGCCAGATCCCTGAGGGGCGGGTGCAGCACCCGCGGGTGGCAGAGACAGATGAGACTTGGCTTCAAGGAAAGTACAGGAGCCTGGTGTGGCTGCGCACAGACCCCCTGGTTCACGCTCTTCCCCACGGCCCTGAGGCTGGGGATGGTGATGGCTGGGATGAATTTCAAGGGGTGGAGCACGTTTCATGCCTTAGTGAAACAGCTGCTGCCCTTTGCCCTCTTACCTGCTGGGTGGGCATGATGGCCCCAGAGCCCCCGCCTGCAGGGACAGCAGGGCCCTCTCCGGAGCTGGGATGAGCTCAGCTCTGTTGAGTGGCGGAGCAGGAGGGGAGGTGATCGTGCTGCAGGGTTCGTTCGCCTGGCCCGGGGCAGAGCTGGATGCAATGGCTCCAAGTTAAAGCTAGGGCCTTCCCCTGAGAACGGAGGCGTGTTGAGGGGGATTCGCCAGTGGACCGAGGGCTGGCTGGAATCGCTGTCTCTGGGCATCTTCATGTGCCCCCTGGGCCCGCTCGGGGCAGCAGTGACAGGTGGTCTCTGGCCGTGGGTGGGCGGGGATCAGATGAGATGATCTAAGGCTCCCTGCTCATGTGAGGAGCGGGCCCCAGCCAGGTGGCATGGAAGGCCTCACCCAAAGGAACAGCTCCGTGGAAGTACCTGTCTGCCAGGCTGCGGAGGGGGGAGCTGCACCCCTGCGCTAAGAGCTGCTAGCGGGTTCCAGTCAGTGCAATGGGGCTGCTAGGTAGAGCCAGCCAGGCCCTGGGGCTTATAGCAACTCCTCTTCCTGGGGCATAGACTGCGGGAGGAGCCACAGCTGCCTGCCCCCTCAGCCCAGCCCCTCCTTCACAGCGATTCTGAGGGGTGGAGGGTGCGCTGGGGGCTTGGCGGGGCCAACCCTAGGAAGGGTCCCATTGTCCCTGGAGCTGAGACTGCGGGTAGCTAATGGTTGGAGGGGAGGAGGAGCCTCTCCTTAGCCCAGCTGGAGGGCAGGGGCTGCTGAGGCTCTGAACCACAGGCCATGTTGGGCCAGTAGCCAGGGGACGCCCCTCCGTGGGCAAGCTCTGGGGCTGCAGAACCAGCTGGCTCAAGAGAGGGCTGGGAGCCCTGGGCCATAGGCTGGTGGGACCAACCCTGGCCTGGCTGGGGGATGGGCTCGAGGGGGCTGCCCCAGCTCCGGCTGCCACATTGAGGAGCGTCACCGAGCGCCCTGCTGCCAGCCGGGAGGAAAGGGCTCGGTGCCTCCCGCAGGGACGAGCAGCGGGGAGCCGAATGCACGGAGGCTGATTGGCGTCGGCAGAGCTGGACTGCGCATGTGGGAAGAGCAGCAGGGGCTGCTAGGCAAGATGTGGGCACAGAAGGTGGCTTGGGGGTGCTACACGGAAGGGGTAGCTGGGGGCAGTAGTGGGATGGGGGG